TTTCTTGATGAGTATTTTGATTTACTCTTTTTCTTGTTCTTTTTAGTCTAACATGCCTGACATTTAAATTTCTGAATCTATTGCAGTGTGCTCGCAGACCATCTTGACATCCCTAACTTGTCTCTAGATTGATTGATTAGTTTTTCTTTTTAATTTCTGTTCTCCTTTTCTTTGTTCTTCGATTCGCCTTCTTCTTTGCTGTCTTCAGTGTTGCAAGAAAATCTTGTTCCCAGTAATGACAATGCCTGCATCTGCAATTGGTTTTGAAGGTTTTGAAAAGAGGCTCGAAATTTCATTCTTCGAGCCGAGCGTCTTTGCTGATCCTGAAGGAAAGGGTCTTCGATCTCTTTCCAAAACTCGATTGGATGAGTTTCTGGGTCCTGCTGAGTGCACGATAGTTGATTCACTTTCGAATGAATACCTAGACTCTTATGTTCTCTCCGAGTCAAGTCTCTTTGTTTATCCTTACAAAATTGAAGAAGTTGGAGAGGAAATTCAAAATAGTGAGATAATTCCCAATCAAATTTATTCAGTGATGATCAGTAGAGTATTTATAGAGAAAAGAAATGAAAAAGGAATGAGCAACAGACTCGAAGCTAACAAACATAATTTAACAAACCTAACTAACTAAGTGAAGTGATTAGTTGAGTAATCAATTATTAACTAAAAACAGTAAACCTAACCAGCACTAATGACGTATAACTAACTAATTGAAGTGATTAGTTGAGTAATCAATTATTAACTAAAAACAGTAAACCTAACTAGCACTAATGACGTGTACACTGATATTCTCCATATCCCCCCCTCAAGTGGGATCGCGATGTAGAACGAGCAGGCCCAACTTGGACACGATTTTGGTGAACTGCGGCCCAGGGAGAGATTTGGTGAAAATGTCAGCAAGTTGATGATGAGTGGAGACATGCTTGGGAAGAATGAAGCCTTCTTTATACTTGTTACGAACAATGTGACAATCAATATCCAAGTGTTTGGTGCGCTCGTGAAATACGGGATTAGCACTTATATGGAGAGCCGCTTGATTGTCACACCAAAGAGAAATAGGAAGAGGTATCCGGATATGGAAATCAGACAGGATATATGAAATCCAAAGCAACTCACAGACAGTTGCTGCCATGCTTCTATACTCAGCTTCAGCCGAACTTCTGGAGACTGTAGTTTGCTTCTTTGTCTTCCATGAGATGAGAGCCCCTCCCAAGAAAATACAGTACCCTGTGAGGGATTTCCTAGAGTCCAGGCAAGAAGCCCAGTCTGCATCACAAAAGGCTTCAATGTTAAGTCCGTTGGTAACAAGATAGAAAAGGCCAGTAGAAGATGTGCCTTTAATGTATTTAATGACATGTATTGCAGCATTCCAGTGAGCCATTGTTGGTGAGTGTACAAATTGTGAAAGTTGCTGGACACTGAAAGTGATATCAGGCCGTGTTAACGTGAGGTACAGGAGTCTTCCAACTAGCCTTCTGTATATATCAGGATTGTCTAGTAAGTTGGCATCCCCCCCAGTGAATTTCAGGCCCTTAGGTAGAGGTGTAGCTGTGATCTTTGCACCTGTTAGTCCTGCATCAGAAACTAAATCCATAGCATATTTTCGTTGATTGATGTAAGTTCCACCTGAAGATCTCTCGATTTCTATGCCAAGAAAATACTTGGCAAGTCCCAGATCCTTAATAGTGAAGGCTGAATGTAGAGAGTTCTTGAGGTTCTGAATTTCTTCCTCATTGTTCCCTGTCACAAGCAGATCATCGACATATACAAGTACTGCTACAAATGAATCTTCCTTTGTCAGAATGTAAAGGCAGTGATCATGTGAAGATTGAAGAAAACCATAATTTTCAAGGTGCTTACTTAATTCTATGTTCCACTGCCTGCTGGCTTGTTTAAGTCCATAAAGCGACCTATTAAGCCTGCAAATCTGCCCCTCTCTTGCTTTAGAATATCCTTCCGGTGGCCACATAAAGACTTCCTCCTCCAGAAAGCCATGCAAAAAAGCATTATTTATGTCAAGTTGGAATATAGGCCACATTTTAGTAGTAGCAATGGCCAGGAATATCCTGATGGTGACATGTTTTGCCACCGGGGAAAAACTTTCAAAGTAATCAATCCCTTCCACCTGATGGTATCCCTTGGCTACTAACCTAGCTTTGCACCTTTCCACTGCTCCATCTGCCTTCAGTTTTACCTTAAACACCCACTTAGAGCCAATCGGTTTCATGTCAGGGGTCAAGGGAATAAGATCCCATGTATTATTTTTCTCAAGTGCATCTAATTCAGCATTCATTGCCTCAATCCATTCAGCTCTAGTACTAGCTTCCCTATAAGAATTAGGCTCCTGAACAGTGTTAACATTAGCAAGAAACTCATTGTGCTGTGAACTCAGACACTGTGGAATATGAGAAAGAAAATCATTTTTGATGGAATGTGTGGAATGTGGTGTGATTTCAAGTTGAATGATTTGTGTAAAATTATCATTGTGACTGAAATTAGTCACAAAGTCTTGTAGCCACTGAGGAGAAGTTTTCTGTCTACTGCTCCTTCTAGGAGTAGCAGATGTAGGAGCTTGATGAAGTGTTTGGATTTGGGTAACAGCATCAGTACCATTATCATCATTTGTCACAGGTATGAGACTGGAGTTTTCCCTGGAAATTGATGGTTCAGCAACTGGATGTGCTACAGGTGACTGGGTGTTATGTTTATGCAATATATCTTCATCAGATTCGTGTTCATCTATAGATATGGGTAAGGGTACAACAAGGTCATATTTGCAATGATTATTATATGGAAATATATTCTCATGAAAAATTACATCCCTAGACACAAGAATATGTCGGTTACTAATATCAAACACTTTGTAACCCTTCTGCCCTGAACTAAAACCAAGCAGAATACACTTAGAACTTCTGGGAGAAAATTTATGTTTTGAAGGAAAAGTGTTCGTGGCATAGCATAGACAACCAAAAGTTCTAAAATGATGATATGTAGGAGCTCTATGATGTAACAGTTCATAAGGTGTTTTCCAATTCAACATTTTCGAAGGCAGCCTGTTGATGATATAGGTAGCCATTAAAACTGACTCCCCCCAGAAGCAAGTTGGTAAATGTGATTCAAACATAAGGCTTCTAGCAACCTGAAGTAGGTGTTTGTGTTTTCTTTCAACAACCCCATTTTGTTGTGGGGTATACACGCATGACTTTTGATGAAGAGTGCCATTGCTAGCCAAAAAAATTTGAAAATCTCGACTCAAGAATTCAGAGCCATTATCAGTTCTAATGGTTTTAATGTTGCTTTCAAACTGAGTTTTGATCATTTTGTGGAAGAATCTTATAGTATGCAGAACCTGTGTCTTATGTTTCAACAAAAAAGTCCATGTGGCTCTAGTGAAGTCATCAACTATGGTTAAGAAGTAATGTGCTCCACATATGGAGGCCTTTTTGTATGGTCCCCATAAATCAATATGCAGAAGTTCAAATGATTTGCTGGATTGGATATGACTTCGTTGAAAAGGCAATCTATGTTGCTTGGATAAAGCACAAACATCACAAGGTTTGAAATGGTCTTTATTACATTGTGTTCCTAATGATGAATGTTGTAAAACACTTTCAGAAACATGACCAAGCCTTTTGTGCCACAAAATGGCAATATCAGACTGATGACTACAAGTTTTAATAGGTAAGGGGGCTGAAGAAGCAGTTACAGATGTATTACAGTGTTCAGAAGTGTAATTTTGAATGGTTCTTTGAAGAAAGGAGTCCTTATCAAGAATGTAAAGGCTCTTGACTGTTCTACCAACTACCAGGGTCTTCTCAGTCAGACGGTCCTGCAACAAACAATGATTATCAAGAAATGTGAACTTGAGATTGGAAGTTTTGGCTAGTTTACTTACAGATAGCAAGTTAAACTTAAAAGTGGGTACATGTAATGCTTCAACAAGGGTAAGTTCTTTACTGAGAATAACATTTCCAGAATGTTCTACTTTATTAATGGTTCCATCAGGTAGATAGACAGGTACAGTAGTGGTGATGGCTTTGGGTTTATGTATGAGTTTCAGGTCATTGCACATATGATTTGATGCCCCTGTGTCAACTATCCAAGAGCCAATTTCTATAAGGTCACGGGTATGTAAAGCATGAATATCATCAGATTTAAAAACAGAACCTGCGAAATCTTCCAAGTGTGCAAAATTCACCATGTTGTTGCTATTGCCTTCGAAAATTTTCATCAATTCCTGCTGAATTACTTCACCCAGATTTATCCCCTGTGTCTGCCCCTTCAATTTGTCTCCTGTTTCTCCATTCATCAGATCCATTAGATCCAGGGGAGTTTCAGCTAAGTTAGCCATATGCCTTCCTTTTTTCTTAAGCTCTTTATACCAGTCTGGGTATCCAATGAGCTTGAAGCAAGATTCCTTGTCGTGTCCATTAATATTGCAATGTGTGCAATACCTCTGTTCCTTGTCTCTTCTATTTTCAAATCTCCTTCCTTGTCCCCTTGCTCCATTGTCTCTCTTATAAGGTTGTGATTTTACATACATAGCATTGATTTCACCCCCATCACAGTACACAGTCTGCACTTCCTTTTGTTTTTCCACTCTCTGAACCATTGAATAGGCTTTGTTCACCATAGGTAATGGATCAGTTACCAAGATCTGACTCCTCACATGCTCATATTCTTCGTTCAGTCCCATTAAAAACTGCATCAACCTGTTGAACAAAGTCATTTCTGTAGCTGCCTTTGCTGATCCACAGGTACACTGCGGTAGAGGCATAAGGTAAGTCAGCTCATCCCAAAGTTTTTTTAACTTTGTGTAATATTGTGTTACACTTAAACTTCCCTGTGTTATAGTAGATATCTCCCTTTGTATCTGATATAATTGAGGTCCATTGCAACCTCCAAACCTTTCTTCGATTTCAGTCCACAACTCTCTAGCAGTGGCGGTATATAGAAATGCATCTACGATCTCCTTCGAGATCGAGTTTAAAATCCACGAGGTTACCATGTAGTTAACATGATTCCACCTCTCGTAATCAGCTGAATCCTTGCTTGGCTCTTCAATCGAACCATCAATTATCCCCAATTTCATTTTTGCCCCTAGGGCAATACGTATAGATCTGTTCCAAGCGAGATAGTTTCTTCCAGTCAGTGGTGCCGAGACCAAGATTCCACCTCTCGTAATCAGCTGAATCCTTGCTTGGCTCTTCAATTGAACCATCAATTATCCCCAATTTCATTTTCGCCCCTAGGTCCATACGTATGGATCTGTTCCAAGCGAGATAGTTTCTTCCAGTTAGTGGCACCGAGACCAAAGCCATTCCTGGATGGTCTGAGTTGTGCAACGTGAATCGGTCATCCTTATCAGCTTCCGCCATTTCAATTTTGTTGAAATCTCAGCTCCTTCGTAGAACGAGGATGACGATCTCCAAGTCTCGTCACCGCTCTGATACCATGAAGAAGTTGGAGAGGAAATTCAAAATAGTGAGATAATTCCCAATCAAATTTATTCGATGATCAGTAGAGTATTTATAGAGAAAAGAAATGAAAAAGGAATGAGCAACAGACTCGAAGCTAACCAACATAATTTAACAAACCTAACTAACTAATTGAAGTGATTAGTTGAGTAATCAATTATTAACTAAAAACAGTAAACCTAACCAGCACTAATGACGTGTACACTGATATTCTCCATAAAAATTATCATCAAAACCTGTGGTACAACAAAACTGCTTCTGTCCATCTCTCCTATACTGAAGTTGGCTGGCTACCTTTCTCTTTCAGTACAGCCGTGAGATATACCCGTGGGAGTTTCATTTTCCCCGGAGCTCAGTCATATCCTCATCGTAGCTTCTCTGAAGAAGTTTCTATCCTTGATAGCTATTTTAAAGAACTTTCCTCGTGCACCAAAGCTTATGTTATGGGTAGTTCTGACAAACAACAGAAATGGCATGTTTATTCCGCCTGCACCAGAGGAGCTAAATCTTTTAACCCGGTTTACACTCTAGAGATGTGCATGACTGGTTTGAACACAGATATGGCTTCTATTTTCTACAAGAAGGAATCAAGCTCAGCAGCTCTGATGACCAATAAATCTGGTATAAGGAAGATCCTCCCGGCATCTGAAATATGTGATTTTGACTTTGATCCATGTGGTTACTCCATGAATTCCATTGAAGGCGCTGCACTGTCTACCATTCATGTTACCCCCGAGGATGGGTTTAGTTATGCAAGCTTTGAAGCAGTCGGTTATGATTTCAAAGTTGTGAATTTGGGCCATCTGATTGAGCGCGTTTTGGCATGTTTTAAACCAATGGAGTTTTCTGTTGCTCTGCATGCTGATTTTGGTTCAAAGTTATTTGAGCACACTTACTGCATCGATGTGAAGGATTACTCTCTAGAAGAGAAAAGCTACGAAGAACTGGGAATTGTTGGTTCGATTGTCTACCAGAAATTTGTCAACACTGAATTGTGTGGATCTCCTAAGTCTATTCTGAAATGTCAGCGAGATTGCGAAGAAGAAGACTAACATCAAAGTTTTTTTTGTTTTTGTTTTTTTTTTTTTTCCAATAAATTGTTGGTTTTCTGTTAAGTTGCATATGATTCCTTTGATGGTAATTTCGACTTTCAATCTGTATTATGTTTGTTATGTTAATGACTGCAGTCGCATAATATTTTGCAAAGTGTTTGCTTATTGTAATAATTTTTTAGTTAGTTTGAATAATTTTCTATGGAGTATTTATTCGAGTAAAAGAACTTTTGATTAAAGTTGACTCGTAATGGCTTTCTCGAAAATATTTTTTTACAAAATGTGAAAACAAAAATCGATAAACGGACCTTTAAAGTTGTGAAACAAATGCAATTTGAAATGTGTTAATTCAATCAATAGTCGTAAACTTTGTTATAGATTACTACATGCTCATCGAAATTCAAAAGGTTACTCTTTGCTCACTAAATTTTACTATATGTTACTACTTATTCATCCAGATTTAAAAAGTTACTTGTTGCTCACCTAAATTTGAATAAAATTACCCATTAATCACCCGTATCATTTCCATAATTGCTACCTCTAGCAATGTTTAATGAGCAATGAATAATTATGTTCAAATTTAGGTGAGCAACGAGTAAATTTTTAAATTTCAGTTAGCAAACAGTAACAGATAGTAAAGTCTAGTCAGCAACGAGTAGCTTTTTAAAAATCGATGAGCAAGTAGTAACCATAACAAAATTCAGTGACCATTGATTAAATTAGCTCAATTTGGAATATTGGCCCGTTTGATTTTCATTATTGTAGAAAGGGAATAATTCAAAACTAAGGGATTAACTATTCACAATTCAAAAATCAAGTTTTATGCTTGAAAGTGCAAAAATCAGGTTTTAGTTAATTAATTAAAAATATTTATTAATTAAATATAATAAGACTACAATTATGTAATTAATAGTCACATATACATAATTAGAGGTCACATGTCACATTTTTTAAAATTAATTGGTCACAAATTATTTCGAGATCACAAACCAAAAATTTTATAGGTCACGAATTATTTCGAGGTCACATAATTTTAATTAGTCGGTCACAAATTATTTTTGAATAACATATTAATAAATTTTTAGGTCATAGTTAATTAATAGTCACATATTATCCTACCTAAATCAAGAATTTACAGGTCACATTTAATTTCACTAGTCACATATTTTCAAGTTTATGGTCACAGATTATTTTAAAGTCACATATTCTCAAATTTTTAGGTCCCGTGACTCGACTACCACTCCGACCACCAACATCGCCACCGCCTATATCCAACCTAAATCCACCGCGCCGCCACCACCGTCAACACCTCCACCTACAAAACCAACAATACCCAACACACAACCTCACCAACAAAACCAACGTCTCCACCGACGAAAACCACCACAGCCACCAGACCACAACCACAGCCAAAANTATGGTCACAGTTCAAAAATTTTATAGGTCACATTTAATTCGTTAGTCACAGATCAAAATTTATAGGTCACAAGGTCACAGATTTCCAAATTAATTGGTCACAAATTTTTTACGGTCATAGATTATATAATTTTTAGGTCACAGATAACAAAATGATTAGTCACAGATAATATTTTTAGTCACATATTACCTAATTTTAAGGTCACATTATATTTTTGGTCACAAAACCAAAATCATCAGATCCGCCGATCCACCACCACCACCTCTGCTGTGTCGCCACGACCACTACCACCGCCTCCACGACCACCGCCATGACCAACATCACCACCACCCAAACACCACGACAACCAGCCAGTTGTAACACCGTCAAGTCCTCTATTACCAGCCAGACAACCAGCCAAGTCCTCCAGTACTAGGCCGCTAGCATATAGCAACAAAACCATGTTACAAAAACAGACGCAGGAACAATTTACAAATTGATTTTAAGATCCATTAGTTGGTAGTGGAGATTCCTCGATTTCAATGTCTTTAACCCCATTAGTTAAAGATGATGAATCGCACCTTCTGTCTTTGGCCCAATCCTCAAGCTCATCTTAAACGAGCGAGCCCTTTCTACGATGTTCTTTAACCTGATGTAATGAATCTTTTGTCCAAAAACCTCCATCCCCATCGCCACTACCTCCACCACCGCCGAACCTCCACCCATGTCGCCACTACCTAGATCCACCGCACCGATTCACGACCACACCATATCGCACTTGACTGGAGTCGATGTCACAGCAGCCCTCGCCGTCGCCTTCGCCGTAGTGAGCAGAGAGAAGGATGTCATGAATCGTCCTATCTGTGTACCGGAGAAACCATAGATCTACACGTAGAGGCGCCGGTGTTTGTTAGATCTGGTGGTGGTGTTGCTGGCACCGGCCTTCCTTCAGATGGGCGATTTCGGAGAGACAGAGATGGTGGAGAGAGATTGGGTGAGTAGTAAGAGAAAATGAGATTGAAAATGAATTAGGATTTATTTCAAATATTAGTATTATAATATTATTTAAATTGACAAAATATCCAATTAATACCTAATTTTTGATTAAATAAATTTCATACCTGAATTTTGAATTTGGAAGTTTAAGTACTTGATTTTATGTAATTTTCCCTTTCATTATTGTAGAAATGAGAATGAAAAATATAGCCATTATTGAGCCCCTCACAAGAGATAAAAATTTAAAATTGATAACTTGATGTGATGAATAACAATTATATTTTTCATTTTTATGGATGAAAAATGAGAAACAAATGGGGGCTTAATCTAAAAACTAGAATTTTATAAGAAAATTAAATTAATCAAATTTGTAGTTCTTGGCCTGCATGATTATATAATTTTCAAAAATCGAAATTCTTCTTTTTTGTGACAAAAATATAAATCCAAAAATTGAGGCCTACATTTCTCACTAGGAAAAGCACATGAGAACCACAAGATTTTTACCCTCGTCTCCTTCATTTCATCCATTTATAATTATAAATATTTAAATATTCAAAAAGAAAATTAAAAAAAAAAAAATGCTTCTTAACCAAATTTCCATTGCTATGCGTACACCTTCAGTCACCAGAAAACCCACACCCAAACACCACCCAAAAAAGGCCGCCGTTTTTGCCCAACAACGAAATCCACCACCCCCGGCAACGAAGCTTTCAATCTCCGACGAATCACTGTCGTCACGAGGATTCACTCTCCACCGTACGATCGACAACCTCGACCTCAACCATCTAAACACAGTATTCGTCGCCGTCCGGTTCCCGCGGCGGGATACCGGCAAGATCCGGGTGGCGCTGGAGCACACGGACGCGCTTCTGTGGGTCGAGTACGAGAAGACAAAAAGGCCTGTGGCGTTTGCTAGAGCGACAGGTGATGGAGTGTTTAATGCGATAATTTGGGATGTGGTTGTGGATCCAAGCTTCCAGGGTATTGGATTGGGGAAGGCTGTGATGGAGAGGCTCATCACCGCCCTGTTAGAGAAGGGGATTACCAACATTGTCTCGTATTCGGAGCCCCGGGTTTTGGGGTTCTATAGGCCCATGGGTTTTGTTGCGGATCCGGATGGGATCCGGGGGATGGTGTATTCTAGAAAGCAGAAAAGGAAAGAATAAATTCTCAGTTTCATAATTCATTCCATTAATGTTTTTACATAGTATCATAATATTTTGCAAGGATGAAACAATCTTATAGCTTGTATAGATAAAATTTGACATTCAAAATCGAATTTTATTTAAGGAATTTTTTACTGTCCATCGAAATCAAAATATCTCGAGTCTCAAGCTACTCAAATTGCTACACCTTAATGTCATACCCACTTTGTTTCTCCTACCACCTCGGACGCCTAAGTGTCACAATTTATCAGTTTTCAGTTCTTGGCCATGTATCCATTTTTCTACTTTCTATTTGACGGTCATGAATGTGATTCGTATGACATTAATTTGAAATTGTTACACTGCAGTCAACAATTTCAAATTTGATATCAAATCTCTACGATTGTTTTAGAGACGTGATGAAGGAAAAAAGAACAAGTGTTAGGAAAAAATGGCATTGATAAGTTCATTGTAACTTTAAAATAAAATAGAAGTTAAGATAAAGGCATGTAACAACTAATTGTGTTACCAAATCGTGTGTATATGTCAATAATGTTGTTACCAAATCAACCAATCTTATTTTTAAACATGATTATTAAAACGTGACATGGCAAAAAAGAAATGTATGGAAACACCTGAATCATAGTCTTATCTACTTGACATCAGGAATTGGTACATTAATAAAGAATAGTTACAAATTGCTGCCCTCACAAAAAGATAAAAACAGTAGCTAGAACTATATTATTGCTTTCTTAAGGTAGTTTCTTGAATTATAAAACACTATCACCAGCATCTCCACCACCATTTGTCCCACACTGCTAGCAGCCCAACATTGGCCATGGGGCCACAGCCATTGAGGGCGACAAGCCACTTGTTTTAGCCCACAGAATTTGATACAAACAAGTATTTGAACTTTTTTTCGATCTCAAATACTTTCTTCGATTCACTGGTTTGGCCATTACAGATTAAAGGGCGTACTATTTTCGTTTACTTTTTCTCCACTAGGAGCTGAATAATTATGCGGCGAGATGATATGGATTTTTCATATTTCGTGTACACTGAACCAATTAGTGCATGACAACACGAATAGAACCGAGTCCATGTTAGGAAAAAAAAAGAAAAGAAAATTAGAAATACTTCTGAATAACAATAAAATTAGAGGAAATGATTGTTAAGGTAGTAGTGGTATTGAAAGGAATCGGGACCTATATTACACACATTTTCCTTAAAACAGATTCGCCTCCCAATATGGTGCAAAAGGAGTGATGATGTGTGTCTCTCAAGATATGACGGTTGAAAGTAGCTGACTATCACTTCGTCCCTACTTTAGGCAAACTAAGAATGCTCACAATTCTAACACCAAGCTTGAACAAAGAGAAGAAGAAATTTAGAGTAAAGAAAGAACTCTTATATTAAAAGAAAAATTGTAGCAGCGGTCCCAAACCTTTCGATTTTTAGCATAC